GCACCGTTGGAGCTCTGCTTGTTTTCGTTTCTGCCTTCCCCGAGTTCGTCTCTTTGAGAACAGTTTACCCAACTGGGGTGAGTTCTTCCCACAAGATCCAGGGACCGCTGGGGAAAAAATTCCCAGTGGGTACCTGCCCGAGGATCCTGATAGGGACGATCTCTCCCAGGCGGGAAAAATGTCTCGGTGGAATCTCCAAAAGCTGTGTGGGACAGCTATCCTTATTTCCAATAAATTCAGAGGCTTCTCCAGGTAGAAGGCAGAAAGGAATTTTTATTATGATCTCCTGAGAAAGGGCCACCCGCACTGAAAAACCTCTCAGTGTCAGGGCTCGCTGAACATAGATACAGCAGGTTTTTATAAGGCCCTCCCCACAGTTCATCTCCCCCACCCCCAAGCCTTGAAGGTAAATCTTCCCGGAGATAGTGACAAACAAACAGATGTGGTTATCTTGAAATGTTCGAATTCTGCAAATCCCTGCAAAATTCCTGTTCCCACCCCAACCCCCAGGGTCCCCTGCAGAGGCAACACAACCATTTGTTCAGGCAGTTGGGCAAAAGGCCTGTATTTTGAGTTTAGATTTTATGAAGGGTTTTCACCACATTTTATTCAGCTCCAAATCTCCTCCTTGAAGCTAGAGAAATGAGTGGGCCCTGCCCAGGAGATTGTTGGGTGGTGGGCCACCGAGGTTGCCCACCTCTTCTAGGATGGGAAGAGAGATGTGCAGACTGGAAGCCTGGTGGACACTGGGGTGCCCTCAGCACCCTCACCCTCTCTCCAGCCTCAGAAAAGCAAGGAAATAGCCGCCGGAGGGTTGGACCCATCCCCTGCCACACCCTAAGCCGAAGAGGAGCATTGTTACCCAGTATCCCTGGCCACAAACACACCTCAGCATTGAGCCCTCCAGGGAAGGGAGAAGGGCTGGAAATCATCCCTGGTTGTCTTCCACTGATTGAGAACTTAAGCAGCCAATAACACTGGTAGGAAGAGAGAGGGTGTGGCCTCCCTTCTCCACTGTCAGTTCTACTTAGCGCCTGCCCTTCCCTCCAGCTTTCTTCTGGAGTGTGCTACAAAATTCCTGAATGTAGCCCCATGTATGTGTGTGCATCGATAGACAGGAAGATATGACTGTTCACTGTGTGTGTATATCATGTGTGTATACAATGTGTATGTATATACACACATATAAATACACACATGTAGATATGGCAGTTGCATGTGTGTGCATATACAGCTTAGACAGATATGTCATGCTTCATGAACTATACATGCATTTTAAGAAAATGTTCATGGAAATGCATTGTGGGAAGCTCTGCCTTTATCAGATCTTAAAACATTTTTCTGACTTATACATGGCATCACACGCGAACAAATTGCTCACACCTTAAAAGAAAATCAAGTTTGGCTGCAAGAAGCAGAGTCCAGGAAGGCGCAGCAGCGGGGCTGCCGGTAAGGCTACAGAGGTCAGGTCTGGGAGGTCGTAAGATGTGGAGGCGAAGCTGCTGCCAAGGCTTTATGGTCCACCATCTCATCCGAAGGAATAGAGTTGTTGATTTCCCCCTCCTCCGAGCAGCGTCAGCAGTCAAACAGCCAGAAGACAAGGGATTAGACTATCTCCCAGGGAGAGTGTCTCCCTACTTCTTGCCAATCTGGGATGACTTGGGGACAGGGATAGGGGAAGTGGTCAGGAGGGAAGACAACAGATGTATACGTGTGTGTGAATGGCATATATATGTATGTGTTTTGTGCATGTATATATATATGCATATATATGTTCACGTAGACTATATGCATGTGTGTGTGTTATGTATAAGTGTGTATATCCAGGTAGGCTGTGCAGAAAGTGAGGTCTTTGAATACCTGGGGGTATGTGTATATGTCCCTGTGTGTACACATGTGTCTGTGAGTGTCCAGCATTCTAATAATAGTAATCATTGTAATTCATATTTATCTAGCACTTTACAATTTGCACAGTACTTCCCATATGTTATTTCATTTGACCCTGACAACAACCCAGTAAGGAAGCTAAGGCAGACAGAGGTGAAGTGACTTTCCCACAATCACAGCTAGTCAGCATCACAGGTGAGATTTGAAATCAGGTCATCCTGGCTTCAAGTGCTATCTACGCACTATGCCAAGCTATGTGTATATTCTTATATATGTATATAGTATATGTATTCTTGGCATCTAGAAATAATTGGAGGAAGAGACTTGTTTACGTTAACTACTAGGTCTGGAAATGCCTATTTGGCAAAAGCTTTCAGGAATCTCCTGACCTGTGGGAAGAGTGGCTGGTTTGTCACCTCAGTCCTGGGAGCTCTGGAAAGCTTTGTGGGAACATGAGCCCAATTTCCACCATCTGTCACTACGGCTGTGGATCCTGCTGAGCCCCCAGCCGACCCAGCCCATGCCAGAGTCCTCCAAGAATAAGGCTCGTTCCCTACTGTTCTATCTTCCTAGGAAAAATGAAGAGCATCCTGTTTTCTCTTTAAAATGTTAGGATGTATGAGAATGGAAATGATGTTACACATAGATTATTTCATTCTTTGGTGTACTGTCCTCACATTCACCTACTCACTCAATCACCCATTGAGTTATCTGCTCATCCTTCCGTCTATCCAGCCATTCACCCACCTAACAAACAGAACACAGTGCCTACTGTATGTGCATGGTAGGAGGCTGCACGGTATATTGGATAGAGAGCTGACTGTGGGGTCAGAAAGACCTGGGGGGTCAAGTCTTGCTTCTGACTTGTAGTGGCTAGATGATCCTGGAGAAATCCCCCCTGCAGATCTTAATGGCCTTACTAGCTCAGAATTTTTGTAGACTTTTCGTTGTAAAAGTGCTATGCCTGGAGTCAGGAAGACCTGAGTTCAAATCCTGCCTATGTGACCCTGGACAATTCACTAACCCACTCCCCAGCCCCAGTTTCCTCATGTGTAAAATAAAGATAATAATAGCATTTAACTCACAGTGAGGATCAAAGGATATAACATATGTAAAGCGCTTTGTAGACCTTAAAGTACCATAGAAATGCCCCTGGCAGCTCCCTAAAGACCAAACTGCAGAGGAGGTACTAACTGTGTCAGAGGAAAGGATTTCTATTCCAGGAGTACTCCAACTGATGCAATCGGTTCTGAAGAAGAGATAGGCATAACAACACTGGACCAGGTGCTGGAGTAGATACAAACATCCCCCCACCCCCATTCACCAGGGACTTCATAGTCTTGTTGAAGCGGTAAGACATCAGATCATACATCAACTGGCCTGAGGCAAGCGAACAGGCCCCCCACCCCAGCAGCTGTGGCAATAGCTCCAGGGTGAGGTGATGAGGGTCTGTACCAGGGTGGGGGCAGTGTATTCTAGGAATATTGCAGAGGTGAAATCAAGGAGAAATTTGTAGAGGTGAAATTGACAAGAGATGTTTCAGAGGTGAAATGGAAGAGAAATCTTACAGAGGTGAATTCTACAAGAGATGGTGCAGAGGGGAAATCAATTAGAAATGTTGCAGAGAGAAAATCCACTAGAGGTGTTGCCGAGGTGAAATCTACTAGAGATGGTGCAGAGGTAAAATCCACTAGAGATGTTGCAGAGGTGAAATCTACAAGAGATGTTGCAGAGGTGAAATCTACAAAAGATGTTGCAGAGGTGAAGTTGACAGGCCTTAGCGACAGCTTGGACACAGGACAGAGATGAGGAGTGATATGGTGAGAGAGATGAGTCCAGAATGACTCCTATGTTGGAGCCTGAGGGACTGAGAGGAGAGTGGCATCCTCTACAGTCATAGGGAAGGTAGGAGGAGGGGTTGGGGGAAGGATAGTGAATTGGATATACTGAGTGTAAGATGTTTGCAGGATATCCAGTTTGAAATAGCTAGAAGGCATTTGGCCATTAGATGTCAGAAGAGAGATAGGGGCAAGAAAGGTAGAGTTGAGAGTTATCAGCACAGAGACGGTAACTAAATCCATGGGGGCATGTGAGATCACCAAATGAGAGTACAGAAGAAGAGAAGAGAGCCCAAGACAAACCTCTGTGGGATATCTGTGGTTAGAGGGCACGATCTGGAAGAGGATCCAGTGAAGGAGTGGTCAGAAAGGTGGGAGGAGAACCAGGAAGGGTGGTATCCCCCAAACTGCTAGTCACTTCACATCTCTGGGCCTCCCCCTATCTGTGACTTAGGGGCCCTGGCCTCTCTAAGGTCATTGACATCTCAGCCCCAACATTTTATCCTTCTAGGATTTAGACCACAGGGCCTAGAGCACATTTTCAATTCAACAAGTGTCTCTTAAGCTCCATGGTAGGCACTAAGAATACAAAGATGAAAACAATACATTTTCTCCCCCCCCCCCAAGCTTACATTCTACTGGGGAGACAAGGAGGCAAAAACACGACCTACGCATCAGTAAGAATGACTGAGATGGGGATGGCGAGAGCCCCACCTATCAGAGAAGGGGCCAGAAATGAAATGGAATGAACTTGGCTCTCACACTAGATTTGAGGCATGGAATCCAAGTTTTCCACTTTGTTTTCATCATCCTTGCTTGTCCTTCCAGTGAAACTTCTCATCAAAATGTATTTTTCTCCCAAGAAGGACAGATACTGACATTCCTAGCAGTAACTCATAGGGTTTTGTTTAATTTTCTTTTCTATTATGAACATGACAATTATCAACAAACACTAACATCTCAGTACACAAAGGATAAAAAAGAGGATTGTTTATGAACACAAGGACTTCTGTTAAATAGATTTTTTTTAATGTTTATTAAGTTTTAAAAGGTAGTGGCAAAATTGCCACTTAATTCACAGGTTTTTCAGCCCATGTGTTACTGCAGTCATGGAATTGACTTTCAGTTTGATATTAGAGCCAACGGCTCCTTCTGGTTGGTCACACAGCTGTCATGTGGTCTCCACTGTCATGCAATGAGTGGATCCAGACGTTGGCACCCAACAGCCAGGAGGGTGCTATGACTTGTGACCCCTCTGGGTGTTCTTTTTTCCAGGTGGTAAAAGCGTGCAATGAAGGTGTCAGGAAGATGAGTCGGACAGAACAGATGATTAGCATTCAGAAGAAAATGGAATTTAAGATCAAGGTACAGTCGCTTCCAATATCCCTTTCCCAAATGCTGCATAAATAATATAATTTGCTTCATATATATTTGTCTGCATGTTCCTTTCTCTATTAGATTGTAAGCCCTTTGATGCCAGGGACTCTCTGTTGCTTCTTTTTGTATCACCGCTACTTAGCAGGCACTTAATAAATGTTTATTATGGGGCAGCTAGGTGGCGCAGTGGATAGAGTACCAGCCCTGAAGGCAGGAGTACCTGAGTTCAAATCTGTCCTCAGACCAAATACTTGACACTTAGTAGCTGTGTGACCCTGGGCAAGTCACTTAACCCCAATTGCCTATATCTATCTATCTAAAAAAAATAAATCAATACATGTTTATTGATTGATTAATAATACCTCCTAATTTAGCCTGACTGTCCTAAGTGAATTCCATTCAACACCTCATGTGATATCAGACTAAGCCGAAGGAATAGTCAGAATGCTAGCTTTGGAGTGATGCCTTAAAGAACCCCTTGTTTGCCTTCCACTCCTCCACCCCCAATTCACTGCTTCTCTTTTCATTGGGCTGCAGTGATTTTGCTTGTGCAAATGCTTTTGAATTTTGTAAAAACTGTTTGTGAGCATTGTTTCATTTCACAGAATATACTATAGGTAGCATTGTCCCCATTGTATGGATGAGGAAACTGAACCTCAGAGATGTTCGGTGAATTGCCTGTGTTCACAAAGCTGGTAGGTACCCCAGGTGGCATTTCAAGCCTAGTGTTGTTTCCTTGACATTTGAAAGCAGTGAGTGAGCGTGGAGTCGTGAGTTTGAATCCTGATTCTGTCATTTACTACCTTGTGACCTGGATCAATTCATTTCATCTCTCTAGGCCTCAGTTTCCTCACCTCTAAAATGGCCCCTACGGTCCTTTCTGTCCTAAGTCCATGATCCCCAAAGGTGGAGTCACTTTTTGTGAGCAAGCCCATGCTGACCTTACCAGAATGATGTCATCATCCCATGATGTAAGGGGTTTGAGACACTGACTCCCTGACCACATGATCCAACCTTGTCCTTTATCTCTCTGTCTCAGTCTGTACCCATTATATCTCACTCCCGCTGGCTGCTGAAGCAAGGGGAACTACAGCAGATGTCTGGCCCCAAGACATCCCGGACCCTTCGGACCAAAAAACTCTTCAGAGAAATCTATCTCTTCCTTTTCAATGACCTGCTTGTGATCTGCAGGCAAATTCCTGGGTGAGTCCACAATATGAAAAGAGGCAGAAGATAGATCCTAAGAAGTTCAGCATCCATCCCCAAGAAAACCATGCAACAGATGGTTAAGTCAGTGACTTATGCGCACTTAGAAAGGGGAATGAGCAATCGTGTGGAGCCACTCTGGGTTCACTGAGAAGAAATCACATCAATGCATTTCCTTTTTGACAATCATTCCATAAGTACTTACTTATTAACCAGCTACTAAGTTACATTCTGCTCAGTGCTGGGGATACAAAGGAAAAAATGTCCCTGTCCTCAAGGAGCTTACCTTCTATTGGGGCAATACCATGTTCATATATAAGTATGTAAGGTGTATTATATATAACTATTCCATTATTTAATTAATTCCACTAACTTCTATAATTTTGTTTAATATTATATCAACATCATATTGTTAATATCTAATATATTATTATTTAATAATAAGTATTAAAATTAATATCATGATAGTTATATGTCCAGTGCCTGGCACATAGTAGGTGCTAAATAACTTTTTATCAATTGACTTAACACACACGCGCACACACACACACACACAGATGCACAAATTAAATCTATAAATATAAGGGAATAGGAGTCACTCTCAGCTAGGGGGAGCAGGAAAGGCTTTACACAGAGGATGACGCTTGAGCTGAGGAAGGAGTGATCGCTAGGAGAACAGAGATGGGAGATGGACTGTCAGGCAGGAGGAATAGCAGGACGGCCAGTTTGGAAGGAAAGTAATGTGCAATAAGACTAGAAAGGAGGGCTGGAGCCAGGTTTTGAAGGACTCTCGATGCCAAAATGAGGAGTTGGTATTTGACCCTGAAGGTGACAGACAGCCATGCATGCCAAGGATGCCACTCTTTGGCAGTTGTGTGAAGGAGCCAGGGCACTGGGAAATAAATGTAAGGGATGTAAAAAAATTTTTTAAACGTTTCAATAAAATTCATTTTTAAAGCTTTTACAAGACATAGTATGTAAGGCCCAAGGGGAGAAAGATCATTTCCAAGTGAGGGTAGCCAAGAAAGTCTTCATGGGAGCAGCGGCATCCCTTCCATGAGGTAGGAGGGTATCTACCCCAATCATGTGAAGACTTGCCCCTTTGGAATGAGCGGATGAGAATAGTTTGTTCCAATGACCGTGAAGGTGCAGTGGAACACTGAGAGCTTGGCCCCTGCATCCCAGGCCATCACCAGGCATCCTGACCTTTCTCCTGCCAGTGGACTCTGGGGCAGAGAGGAGGCTGAGAACTCTGGGCACCTCACTGACCTCTAAGTCATGCTTAAGTCAAGACATCACTTGGACATCTCTGGTCCTCTTAGAAGTCAAAGGATGAACGAACAACACAGGGCAACGTTTTGAGCAAAGGGATGAGTGACAGGACATGACTAGAGCAGAAAGACAGGCAGGCAGGGCCCCCTGCAAAGCTGTCAGAAAGCTGAGAGCTGTGTTCCACGTTCCACAGCTGGGTCAAAGGGCAGCTAAGGAATGCTCAGTCAGTCAATCATTAAGCTTAATAAAAGCACCTGCTCCTCTGTGCCAGGCTGGGGATAGAAAGACAAAAGGGAAGTGGGCCCTGTCCTCAAGGAGCTTGCATTCTAGTGGAGGAGACATGTGCATATGAATGTACATTCATGTACAGGAGAATGAAGGTGGTTAGGGAAGGAGGCAGGGCCCAGCGGGCAGCTGAGGACATCAGGAAAGGCCTCATGTGGAAGGTGACCCTTGAGCTGAGTCCTCAGGCAGCCACAAATTCCAAGAGGCAGAGGTGAGGATGAAGGCCATGCTAGGCAGGGGGCCCAGCTTATGCAAAGGCATGGCCACAATGAATAATTGCTGTTATTTCCTGCCCCCTTATCCCCAGGGACAAGTACCAGGTGTTTGACTCAGCTCCCCGTGGCCTCCTGCGAGTGGAGGAGCTGGAAGACCAAGGGCAAACTTTGGCCAACGTCTTCATCCTGAGGCTGCTTGAGAATGCGGATGACCGGGAAGCCACCTACATGCTGAAGGCCTCGTCCCAGTGAGTACGAAGGCCTGCCATTCTCTGTGTGCCTGGACATCTTTTCCTTCAGAGGTCTCACCCGCCAGACTTTGTGAACCTTAAAAATACCAGATGAACACTAGTTGTTATCGTTTCATTGTCCTCAATGCCTAGAACGGTGCCAGGCAAATAGTAGGTGGTTAGTAAGTGCTCATTGCACCGAATCAGACTGAACTGAATTACACCTATGTGAGAGCCTGCCCGGCTCACTTCCCCCCTTTCCTCTCAGAGCATTCGGATTTGGGTTCGAATCCCAGCTTTGCTCCTTCCCACCTATGTGACCTTGGACTAGTCTGGGCCTCAGTTTCCTTCTCTGTAAAGTAGCTGGGTTGGGCTAGATGCCTTGAAGGTCCCTCCCAGCTGTCCTCATCACCTGCAGCCAGGCTTGCACACAGGGGCAGGGAGGCACTGGGCTGGCCTCGACTCTGTCCACCAAGCCTCTGCCATCTTGAAGAGTCGGTCATTTTGGTAAAGCGGGATGCCTGGTTCTCTTTGTCCTACTAGCCCAGCTGCCAGGGCACCCACCCCCATGCTGGGAAGCCCAGGCCTGTTTTTTAACACCCCCTCCTCTATTCCACCTTCCCACAAAGGTGACGAGTGCGAGCCGTGAGCACCAGCAGCAATTCTAGGGAAGAGTGTAGAGCCTACACAGATAGGATTCAGAGCTGGGAGAGGCTGAGAACACGGAATGCCCAAGCTTGGAGGAATCTTAGAACAGGGAACGTCAGAACTGGAAGGGGCCTTAGAACACAGGAGGCTTTAGCCAGGAGGGACCTTAAAAGGTAGAATACAGACTATCTGAGCCGGGAAGAACCTAGAACACAAAATATGCTAGCTCAGAGGAACCTAGAACAAAGGTGGCAAAGTTGGGAGGGAACCTAGACTGCAGATCACGGAATGTGAGAGCTGAAAGGGACCTCAGAGGCCGACGGGTTCAGTCCCCTTGTTTTACAGAGAAGGAAACTGAGGCTGACAGAGATGAAGTGACTTCCCCAAAGTCTCACAGGGAATAGGTAGCAGAACCAGAATTTGAACTCAGATCCTCCCCCTTTCCCCACTATTCTGGGCCAGGCCATTAGCTGCAACTCCTCCTGACAGACTGCTTCAGGCAGAAACTGAAGTGAGCATTGTGTGGGGGTAGCACCCACACGCATCTCCAGTTATTTTCACATCCCATTACATATTGAAGAGGGTGGGTCCTGCTGCGGTGTGAGGCGTAGGTATGTTGCCAGCCCCAGAAGGACAAAGCAAAGCCAGGCGTGGCCCAGGAGAGAAGGCCACGGGGTCAGGGCAGGGGGGGCCACGTCTCCCCAGAGCCGCTATAAACGCGCTGGCCGTGGTGTGTCTCTCTGCCCTCACAGGAGCGAGATGAAACGCTGGATGACCTCCCTGGCCCCAAATCGGAGAACGAAATTTGTTTCCTTCACATCAAGACTGCTTGGTGAGCATTCCCGGAAAGTCCTCTGCTTCCGCTCCTCCTCGTGTCCTTTCGAGGGAAAGCTTGGCTTGTGGGCGCCATGTTGGAACTGAGTGTCTCGGGGGTGCTAGGATCTGAGAGCTATAGAGCGAGGCCTTTATATATTTATCACTTAAAGTTACATCGATGCGTTTTATTTGTGCATCATAGACTCCTTGGGTACAAGCCACCGTCCTCTTCCTACCTAGGATCTTCCCTTGTATCAAAGAGCTATCCCACAAAGTAACAATGTCTAACATCAGCATGCAGCTTCCCACACCCATAGTCCCTCACTTCTCCATGAAAGGGAGGGTGGTTTACTCAGATCAGGGCTCACCTTTTTGTGTGTCATGGGCCCCTCTGGCCACCTGCTCAAGTCTACAGAACTCTATGTTAAAGTGCATAAATCAAAACATATGGGATTGCAAAGGAACCAGTGACACTGAAATTCATCTGTAAAACAGCAAAAGCCAAAACTTCGTGGATGCCAGGTGAAGCTTCCCCAACTCAGAGCGAGGCATTCTTCCAAGTATTCTTTCTTCTCTGACATTCAGACAGTGTTTTCGGAGATAAAAGGCTCCTAAAATCTCTTTATAGGATTGTGCTGTCCAGTCGCAGGGAGATTTTACATTCTGAAGCGCTGCTCTTGTGTTAGACTGACAGCTTAGTCATAAGGCAGAATTGGCCGTAGAAGACCTGAGTTCGAGTCTTCCCACTAGACTGAGCAGATCCCTTACCCTCAGTGCCCGTGGCTGCTCTTTCAAGCCAGAGGTATCAGAGCAGGGGTCCATCTGCACGGGTAGAGGAAGCGTCTTCACCAGGAGGCGCCTACACCATTTGAATGAAATCACTGGTCTGGACCACAAAAAAAAAAGGCTAATGTCGTTTTTAAGGCCTTGAACTAGAAATGTTTTCATGGATGCTTGGGCAAAAGAAGGAATAAATAAGAAATAAGTCAGATAGCTGGAAGTCTTAAGAGATGAAATACAGTTCTTGAAACTCGGCGGCAAAGGGCCGAGGTGGGGCCACGTGGACCTCCCTCTAGTCAGGGTCAGGCAGGCTGCAGAGGCTGGTCGTCCACTTGGGTTGTCTGCTCTGGGGTTGAAGGCCCTTCACGAAGCTCATGAAATGCGGAAGAATCCAGAGTTTTTCTTTCATAAAAACGAGTCGGTCCTTCCGCGTCCTGGGCCACTCCACAAATCCCTTCCTCCCCGGCTTCTCACTCAAGAGCAGGAGTCCCATAGAGCTTCCAAGGCCTCTCAGGAAGCCTGACCGTCCCACTCCGTAAGAGGAGCCCAGGCTTTCGAGTGACTTTTGCAGGGGGTGGCATGTGCCAGTGAAAGGCCTCTGCCGTGGACACCCCAAGGCCTGGGTTTGAATCCTGGCTCTGCTCCTTCCTATCTGGTGACCTTCAGGGGTCTAGCCTCCTCATCTATAAAATGAGGGAACTGAATGAATTGACCCCCAAGGTCTCCTCTGGCTAAGTCTTTGATTTGATCCCGGGACCCTGTGGTCTCGGCAAACCTCCATTTCCTTGCTTCTAAAATACAAGTTGGACAAAGTGACCTGCCCCGAAGGTCCCTTCACGCTGTGTAGGGTGTTCCATGAGTCTTAGCACAGTTTTAAACATCAGAATCTGTCTATAGAAACAGAAGGAGGCTAGGGGGCACCACAGTGCACAGAGCGCTGGGCCTGGAGTCAGGAAGACTTGAATTCAAATGCGACCTCAGACGCTTACTAGCTGTGTGACCCTGGGCGAGTCATTTCACCCTGTTTACCTGAATCCACTGGAGAAGGAAATCACAAACCATTCCGGTATCTTTGCCAAGAAAACCCCGCGGACAGCGTGGTCTGCGGGTCGTGAAGAATCAGACTAACCGAGCAGTAGCAATGCAGAAGCATGGCTTTAAAATTAGGAGGCACCTCAGGGGTCACCCAATGAGCTCATTTTACAGATGAGGAAACTGAGGCTTAGTGCGATCCTAGGAGCATAGATTGGAGGTTCCTGTCCAGCCTTTTCAGTTTGAGTGGCCCAAGGTCGCACAGGTGCTAAGAACCAGAGGCAGCATTTGAATCCAGTGCCTCTGACTCCACAAGCAGGGCTCTTTCCATGGGGCCACACTGCCTCCTTGTTAGATAAGGAAGCACCTGTGTTCAAATCCCTGCTCTGTGGCCCTGGGGAGGTCTTTCAGACCAGCTCTCTGAAGCGAACCCGAGCTGTCATCTGCCTTCATCCCGCCAGCAGGAAGAAAGCTCCGCTTCTCTGAGGCCATTCACCTTGTGACTTGCGCCCCCAGTCAAAGAGTTTTCCTTTTCTACCTGTGACTTGGCATTTTATTGGGCTAGAAACTGTCCTTGACCCTCCCCTCTGCCCGGCCCCTCCCCAGCACCGGCTCTGTCCGAGGCTCAGAAGGCCCAACCAGGCCGGGCTCCAGAGAGAGAATGTTCTACATTCTGGACAAAAGCCTCTTGTCTTCTCTCCTCCCTTCCCCCGACAGACTGTCCCCAGGTGCAGTGCGTCCACCCCTATGTCGCTCAGCAGCCGGACGAGCTGTCCCTGGAGCTGGCCGACATTCTGAACATCCTGGAAAAGACGGAAGATGGTGAGTACTATGCCAGCGTGGAGACCTGCCTCCAGGTGTGTCTATACTGCCCTCATCACATGTCTGTACCATCCATGCCATATGTCTATACCCCATATCCATACTGCCCTCATTACATGTCTCTACCACCCACACCACATGTCTATACCACCCATGCCACATGTTCTCTACCACCCACACCACATGTCTATACCACCCATTCCCTTGCCTTCTGAAAGTGTTCTGGCTGTTACCTTAGTCACTTTGACTACACTGTCTGGGAGGCGGGGGAGATGACCACTCCCTCTCTGATTGACAGAGCAGGAAACTGAGGCCAGGGGTCAGCCAGTTGCCTAAAATGATGATCCTAATGTTTCTCCAGCACCTGCACTTTCCCACCATAGTCATTCGAGCTCACACCAGCCCTGGGAGGTCGGTGATCCCTGGTTTACATAGGGAGGAAACTGAGGCCCAGAGAGGTTACAGAGGGCTTGTCCTGGGGTCACACTGGAGAATGTCTGAGGGACGATTTGAACCCAGGTCTTCCCAGTGTTCTATCCACTGAGCTATACTGCCTCTCGGCATCACACATCTCCTTAAGGACAGAGCTGGGTCTCCTGATTTGCTAGCCTTATGTCCATGGATCACCCCGATCCCAGCCCCTTACTACTGCATCTGCTGCTGCTTCCCTTTGTGGGAAGGGGCGTGGCCAGCTGATTTTTGTTTGAATTGAGATCTGGGCCCTTGCTTTCACTGGTGTAGGGAACTCCGCAGTATGGGAATTCCCTCCATCAATGCAGATTGGCCCCTGCTCTCAGACAGCACTGGCCACTGAAGGGCTCAAAGAGAAGCAGGATTCAAACCCAGGTCTTCCTGCCAGTGAGGCCTGTTCTCACATAGCCACCATGCCCCGGGTTCTAGGGGCAGGATTTGTCTTACTGAAGGCCTTCTTTTCCATTTCTCTCCTCCCTACAGTAGGGTCTGTGCTCAGGGTTGTGGAGACAAAAATTTAAAAAACGAACAGTCGTTAGAGTCAAGGGATTTCCATTCTACACAGAGGAGGCTGCCATGAGAAGAGAGTATCAGCCCCTTGAGGGCAGGAAGGGCATGTTTGTCATTGTATTCCCCATGCTCAGTACAGTGCATGGGATGGAGTGAAAAGAAATCATAAATGATTGTATTTCTATCATGAGGACAACATATTATACAGCATAACTACGTATGTTATATGTAAGATTACATGCTAATGACATATAATTATACACCAGATGTTATTATTGTTATTAATGCTTGCTGCTCAGTGGATAGGAAAGTAGGGGAATGTAAGAAGAAAGAGAAGGGGCACCCAACAGGGGGACCAGGGAATCACCAATTCCATCCTTCAGCATTCAAGTGCCTATTAGGGGTTAAGCACTGTGCTAGGCGCAGGGAATACAGAAACAAGCAAGACAGTGCTTGCCCTCAGGGAGCTTACAGTCTATTGGAGGAGGCTACACACACGTATAAATGTATCTAAGCTACAAGCAAATAGCCCTTCCTTTGGATGGTCAAATATTCCAAAGTAATCCTGGAGGGGAAGGCACCAGGCAAGGCTTCCTGTGGAAGGCAGAGCCTGCTAAGTCTTGAAGGAAGCCAGAGGCTCCAAGAAATAGAGGTGAGGAAGGAGAATGTTCCAGATGGGAGGTACAGCCTGGGCAAAGGTCTGGAGGTGGAAGATGATAGAGTGCTTGTGTACAGGAAGGGCGAGTAGGCCCATTTGGTGGGAACTTTGAGCGTAAGAGGGGAGTGAGTGTATCTTTGTATCCTAAACGGCCCCACATGTCACCAGTGTGTCTCATCTGGTTGTCCCCTCTTATTCCCCACTGGCCCTGGGGGAGGTGACTGATAGGAGGTGGCACCCGGGCATGGTGTCAATTCAGTCATGTGGGGAAAGTGAGGAAGCTGCCTCTGGGGAAGAGTGTGTATGTCTTGTAGCACCTCCTGGCCTTAGATTTCTTGACCAGCTTCATCTAGGATGGACCCAAGGCCCTGAATGTTCCTGCTTGCCCTTCTCTGCCCACCCTCCAAGCTTATCCAGGAGGCCCAGCGCTGCACCCCTGCTCTGGTGTGGTCTGCCTGGGGCAGAGTGCCAGGGAAGGATCCTGCCCTGCTCTTGCACCCTGGCCTCCATCAAGGCTGCCCCAGACTCACAACTTTAGGGGCTGCCCCACCACACGACTGATTCAGACTGAGACTGACGCCCTCTGGGCTTTTCATGAAGCAGTGAATTGGTTTTCTCACTAATGCTGATAGCGGTAATATTTCTCCTTTGGCATCCCACAATCTGCTCCGCCACTCACTATCTGTAAATCCCTGGGCAAGCCTCTTCCCCTTCTGGGGCTCAGTTTCCCTAAAAAATGAGGGTCAAACTGGAAGCCTCTGAGCTCCCTTCAGCTCTGGGTCTATGATCCTGTAATCTCTCTGAGCCTGCTTCCTTATCTGTAAAATGGGGGGATTAGACTAGATGACCTCTAAGCTCTTTCCAACTCCAAGTCTATGTGTCTTTGAATAAATGTTTGTTGAATTAAGTGACCCATTTCTCAGAAGGTAAGATCACTCAGTTTTATCCTTCCTGCCTGTCTCCTGCTTTCTTTTCTCCTCTTTCCTGCTCCTCCTCTTCCCTTCCTTCTTTCCCTTCCCTTCCTCCCATTTTCCTGACTTGGCATGAGCATGGGGTGGGTTTTGGGGAGATTTTGTTTTAAGCTTACAGAGAACCATGAATGCTTTGTGACCTTAGGCAAGTCACCTTCCTCTCTGAGCCTTAGTTTCCTCATCTGTAAAATGACAGGGTTGGGGGGATGGTCTCTAAGATCCCTTCTGGGTCTGATACTCTTGGGAGATAGTGGTTGCCCCCTCCCAGACATCTTCCATGGAAGTCTGGATGACCATTCATCAGGGATATTGTAGAAGGAATTTTTGGTCAGGGATGGGACAGTCAATATCCGTTCCAACCTTGGGATGACATGAAACAGAGCCATCCCCTTGTAGAATGGGCCACCCTGACAGGTAGTGAGCTCCCCATCCTTGGAGGTCTCCAAGCAGAGACAGATGATAATTTGCCAGGTTGTTCTGATGGCCTCTTAGGTCCCTCCCAGATAGTAACCCAAGCCCTCCCTGTGGCTGATATTTCTTGGTCACCTGCGCCCTCTGCTGGCTATCTCATGCAATACTATAAAACCACGGCTCCTGAGATATTTTCATTCTATTACCACAGCTGCCTGGCATCAGAGGCCCATAGGACTTGGCTTGCTTGTTTTACTAACTGCTTTTATTTTTCGTTGTTAATTACGGCTATCAAGAACATCTACTGTGGGGCCCTGGAGATCACTGAATCCTAATTTTATAAATGAGATTTGGGCCAGAAAGCGCAGGTGCCCAGGCTGGAAGAGAGCTAGCTCAGAGACCCTCTAGTCAAATCTCATTTTACAGATGAGGAAACTGAGGCCCAGGGAAGAAGTAACTTGCCCAAGGTCACACATGTCAGAGGTCACATTTGAACCCAGGTCGAGACCAGGGCACCTTTCGCTAATAACACACAAACTCATTCACTGTCTACACTGGGAGTAGTATCCACATTTTTAAAATGAGGAAACTGAGTTTCACAGCTGGAAAGTAGGGCCTAGACTCAAACCCGGGGCTTCTAATTCCAAAGCTAATTCTCTTTCTACTTCTCTCCATAGCTGGGCTACAAAATATCCTATTTGGCTTTCTTTTGCCCCAGATTCCCTAGGTTTTCATTAAAAACACGTTGCTTTTTTTCCCCTTTCCCCTTGATGTCTTCCCCCCAACCCCATAGGCTGGATTTTTGGGGAGCGCCTTCATGACCAAGAAAGAGGCTGGTTCCCAAGCTCCATGGTGGAGGAGATTATGAACCCCAAGATCCGATCCCAGAATCTCAAGGAGTGTTTCGGGTCCACAAGATGGACGACACCCAACGTAGCCAAAACAAAGACCGGAGGAAGCTGGGCAGCAGAAATCGGCAATGACCTCTCTCTTCCTCAAGCCCCAACCCCTGAGTCTAGGGCCACTAGGACAGTGAGCAGGTCCTCGGATGCCTGGAGAAAGAGAGAGAGAGATTTTGAGTATCAGGGCTGGGACAGAGCAGTAGAAGGGGCTGGCAGGGCAGCAGGCGGGGTCTGATCTTTCCACCTGTGGACTGTGTCCACCCCAACCAAAGGGATGCTGCTGCATTTACTGTGTACAGAAGTCCACCCCCCTGCCCCTCCCCTTCCCACCGTGTTAGTCATTCTTGGTCCTTCTGGCGGCAGACGCAATGGGGGAAGGGGAGAGCAGAGAAATTCCTTTCTTTTGAGCTCATGATTTACAAACAGCAAGCCACGTGGATTTTCCACCACACTGCATTACTGCCTTTTACCCGGCCCTCCACCCCCCCATCCTTTAATAAGTGTAAGAAACCTTTCACTGCATGGGCATGAGGGGACCCAGACCCCAAGCATTCTCCCCACTCACCCACCCATACCACCTCCCTCCCAAGGACTCCGGAGAGGCAGGCAGCCTTCAGCCACCAAGGATGGTTCCCACCAGTTTCTGAGTTCAAGAACCAGAAGATTTCTGCTATCAACAATATAGTACCGTGGAGAAAAAGCATGGCCTGGTGTGGCATGGTACCTTTAAGAGAAAATGGAAGCCATTATTAACCCCTAGCACCCAAGAGGATGCTCTACGAACAGACCCAAGTGCTCTGGTATTCGCCTTGGGGTGGAAATTTGGGCAGCACCCAGGGCCCCCTCACTAGGTCATATTTGTGCAGTAGAATCATGCTCCTTCCAGGCCCCCTCCCCAGCATGCCACTGCCCCTTCCACAGAGGAGGCTCTACCTGCCCCTGTTTCTGTTACTTGTGGAGATGCAGAAAAGTCACCAAGCCTAGTCCCCCCCAGACTGCAGGCTTCTTCCAGGGAGCACAGTTGGACACGGGTTTCCCCAGGCCCAAGTCAGACCTTTTGGTGAAGCCCCCAAGAGAAGGATCTGAGCCAGCTCCTCTTTCAAGGTTTTGTGGCTTGTGGGACCCGCTAAGAGGATGGGTTGGTGATGAAGCCACATGCTTCCTTCCGCTCTGCTTGGACACGCCTCGTAATAAAACATCATAACCGGAGGAGAGGGGCACCTCTCTCCTCACCGCAGCACAAGCGACCAGTCTTTGAGACGTGAGGCTCCGCTGCAGGCTAGCCTTCTCACACGTGGGGGATCCCATGTCTAAGGGACTGTGGATGTGACGCAGGATCGCATGACCACCTCTGCATGTTCTGACCTTCCCGGGGAGGGGACAGCCCTGGCAACGTCCACCTGTTGCTCCTCTGAGCCATCTTCTGAGGGGAGAAGGCTATGGCTTAGGGCTGATGGGACGGAGCCTGTTGGGAGGATGCCAGGACCAGCCAGGTCCATAAGCGTGTCTGTTGGTTCCTGCCTCTCCTTGCCACTCATGTATATTTTAAATGCCTTTTTTCTTTCATAAAATACATTACACATGGTGAAATTCGTGTGAAGTTGACAAAACTGGGATGGGCAATTGGGGTCCCTTGGGTCAAGGGTGGCTGGGCAGCCCAAAGCATGTGGAATGATGGGGAATCAGGGAAGGTTTCATAAGAACCAGGCAGCTGGGGGAAGCCTGGGGGTGGGGGGAGGATGAACAAAGAACAGCCTGAGGACAGATCCCGAGGGAGAAGGGTGACGACCTTGTAAAGGGGATGATGAGCCCTAATGTCCCTGCATCTGGAAGGTCTTCAGGCACCTTGCATTTGCTGCACCCTCCAAGGGGTCATCTGGCCTCTACTGGAAGATTTCGGGGGCAGGGCAAGAGGGCCCAGTGTGCTGTCCACCCCTCCTGTTGTTAATTAGGAGCACTCCCCCCCACCTCAGTCTTTCTAAGCTAAATGCTCCCGGCTCCCTCCACGAGTTCTTACAAGGCTTGGCCTCCTTTCCTCATCCTGCCTGCTCTCTTCTGGGTGTCCTCCTGGCATGCTCTAGTCCTTCCTGTTATGCAGTATTCATTTCCCAGTTAATCAGTGATAATATCTAACTACTAGTGGGACCCTCACTTCCTACATTGTGGATGCGAGTGTGCCAAAGATCTCACAAATCAACCAATGAATAAGCATTTATTAAGCACTTTCCATTTGCTTCTCACTAAGCACTAAAGACTCAAAAAGGACAAGAACCAAAATCAATCCCTGCCCACAAGGAGCTTACACTCTAATGCACGCCACTGGCACCTGCGGGATGCATATTGAGCTTGCGGTCCACTCACCCCGCCAGATCTTTGTCAGATGAATTCTTCTCTAGCTCCATCGCAGGCATTTTTGTTTTTTAACAAAAGATTAGAAATTTCTGTTTATCCATTATTTAATGCCATCTTATTCTATTCAGCCCCTCAAAGTTTTCTTGGATCTTAACTCTGTCAACAATAGTAGTAGTAATAACAGCTAACGATTATGGAACTCCTTAGGTCTTGTAAAGCATGTTTCACACATATATGTATACATATGTCCCAAATACATACATACGTGTGTCCCAAAGCCTTAGGACAGTGTTTAGCTATTAGGGTTTCTGAGATCCCATCTCCTCTCACTCGGTCACCACTGTCATCCAGTGTGTTAGGAATTCTAGCTTCCCACCATCTGCAACCTCGACTGGTGGGATCCCTGCTTTCATCCAGGTTTGGCTGGAGCCAGGGAAATAGGGCTGGGAAGACTGACTGGGGCTAGATTGTGGAGGGTTAGCCCTGAATGCCGGGCCAAGGAGTACAGACTTGTTGTCATAAGCATAATGGTGTTTATGAGAATGTTGTTACACTTGGGGTTGGTTTTTTGTTTTCGTTTTTGACTTAAAAGCAATTTTCAAGTCAGTCTACAAAGCAGACTGGAGGAAGCAGCCAGGCGCACCAGGGGTGTGCCCCCAGCAGGGGCGAGGGGGCAGGGGGAGGCAGTGCCTTTGTATACATGGGCTTGTCAGAAAGGGGGCTGGGGGAGGGCGAAGCCGGGAGAGTCAGGAGGACACCTTGCCTCCTAGAACACTGTAACGTGCGATATTTGCCCGCATTTGTGATGCAAGCCCCATCAGGGGCTTCTTCAGGGAAAGAAAAAATGGCCAAGTAGCCTTGGAGAACCAGTTCAGTGGAGAAAAGTAGCTCTCAGGGTATGGGTGTTTTTGCTGCTATTTTAATATCGGTGTTATAAAGTCCTATCCCAGTTTGTTAATTCAATTAGATAAACGATTCGAAAGACATTTATTAAAGTCCTACTACATGCACTAGGTGCTCTGCGAGGTACGGGGTACAAAGACAGATGGGAATCAGTCCCAGCCCCGAAGGAGCTTCCATTCTAGCACTGGGGGAGGGGCTGGTCGGGCTTAACGTGTTCAAAGAGATCCTATACAGCGTAAAGGGGAGAAGGACTGAACGCCTTGGGGAAGCTGTAGGAAGGGTACGAGGCTTTCACCGGGGGGAGGAGACCCCAGAGCTGAGTCTGCTGAAAGGGGAGGGAGGGACTCGGCAAACTTGGGAAACAGTTGGGAAAGACAGGCCAGAGCGGAATCGTGGAGGACTGTGCGCTTTATCCAAAGGAAGCCTCGGGAGGTTTTTGTGAGCTCGGAAGAGTCTGCGGAGGAATCAGGCCAACGCGGCATTTCTTCCTTCCACGGCCTCTTGATCTCTCCGGCCTTCGAAGCGACCCGATCTGCCCTCTTTGTAGCTCCGGCGGGGACCAGACCGCTCAGGGTCAATGCTTTGGAACTGGACTTCTTCGTCGAAAGAAGCAGCTTCCCTGTGAAAACCGGCTCACCCCAAAGGCCAGATCTCCACGGCACGTGGTGGGCTCTGTGGGGCAGTGGCAGTTTTTCATTCTCAATATACACTGTTCCCCCTTGATTTTTCCGCCATGAAAGGGTGGCAGTTCGCCAATGGCATCGAAGTTTCAGGTGTCACTTTTTTCCCTTTTCTTCCTAACTTTGGCTTTGATTCCTTTGTGTAAGGATTTCCACCTGTGGCCTGCCTTACAATCCGGTGAAAAGTGACTCCAGAGATGCTGGGATGCCCAGCCACAAATCTGTATGGCTCCTGGTATGCCACAATTACATAGTCATTCCTTTGGACAGTCAAGGCTGTGGCTTCTTTAGAGGCCCCTGTAAAAACCCAGCTGTCTAACCTGGAAAGCCTGGATCCATCCCCCTACTATGTCATGGGGGATGGGAGCCACTATATGAGATCATAGCTCTAAGGGGGGGGTGAGGGAGAAGGGAAAGTCTCATCCAGATTCTAACTTTTCTCCTCACAGCTCACTGGAGCTCTGCCTTGGATGTGAAATTTTTCAGGGAAGGTCTAAGACACAACAGAAAGAGCCCTGGTTTTGGAGTCCAAAGACTTGGTGGAAAATCCTGGCTGTGCCACTTACTACCTATGTGATCTTGGGCAAGTGATTTCCCCTCTCTGGGCCTGTTTCCTCATCTGTAAATGGGAGGCGTTGGGGCAGGTGGCCGCTAAGGTGCCTCCAGCCCTAGATCTACATCTGTCTGTCTGCTATTCCAGAGGCTCACAGAGTCAGAGTTGAGAGATCACCTTGTCCAACCACCCCACTTTACAGATGAAGACACTGAGGCCGAGGGCGTTGAAGTCACTTGTCCAAGATCACAGGGGTAGCGTGTGACAGAGCCAGGATTTGAACCCAGCTCTCCTGCTGCAAATGCATTGTAACCTACTGCTATGTGCTCCTGAACTCAATGGAGGTGTTCCCAGGTATTTTAAAAAATCAGGCTCCCTGAGGTATAGCAAGCAAACAGAACCACACTCCCCTTTTTGGTATCATTACACCTGGGTCGAAGCTGCAGGTGAGTCACCCAGACATCTGTGCCTCTTACAGTTTATCTGCTCCCCTCTGGAGGACCCTCCTCTTATCCACAGACTCAGGATTAGAATTTCCAAACATAGCCCCAGGACAAGGACCAGCATCTGCAGAGACCAGAGAAAACTGCTGAGGAGGGAAGGGCATTGGAGCTCAGCCAGAGGCCCAGGCGTCCGGGGATTTCTTCCTATTGGGAGAGAAGGGTACGGCGGAAGCCGGGTAAGGGAGCCAGATGTTACTTGCTGGGGCACTGCTGCATCTTTTCCAAAGCGAACAAGGGGGACAAGCTGATCTCCGTGGCCCCTCCTGGCGCTGACACTGTTCTGATGGCAGGTTCCTCTCAGAATCATCGATTCTCAGGTTCGTCTAGTCTTTAGGGTCACCCAGCCCAGCCTATACCTGAAAAGAGCCCCTTTACAGCCTACTCAGCAAATTGTCCCCTACTCCTGGCTTGAAGATCTCCAGTGAGAGGGCACCCACTTCCTCTAAGACGGCCCATTCCACTTTGGGTCGGGATTTCTTTTTTTTTTCCTGACAGCAAGCCAAAATCAGAATTGCTGCATGGGAAAGGGTCTGACTGAAGGTAGCCAGGTACCTAGAGCGCAACAGGCAGGGCTTCAGCCAAGGTGTTAAAATGTAGAGGGCACAGACGGTACTTAAGCTGGTGGGACAACTCAGTTTAGAACCTGGTGGGCAAAAAATGAGAACCATCAGTTAAAATGAAAAGCTATCAGAGTCGATCTGGATATGGTTCTACCCTGGGAAACCCCGGAAGTCTTGACTGCCTGTTACAGCTCTGCCTGTAGGAACTGAGGTGGGAAGATGACCAGGGGCTCTTACCTCAGAGTCTGCGACATTTAAAAAATGTTGTTATAACTGTCTTTCCATTTGTAATCCTATACCTTTCAAAACGGTACTGAGAATCGAGTCCATTGACCGCTTAAGGAGTCCAGGAGACCAGAGCGGTGAAAAACTAACCCTTGGTTTAGACCACGGCTCGTCCCTGGCAGCATTGCAGAGAAAAGCGGGTTTCTCTCTGTCCTCGTTCCAGATTCCAGTCTCACAGGAAGGGTGTGGCTAGCACCCTTTTTTTGGTGAGACAATCAGGGTTAAGTGACTTGTCCAGGGTCACACAGCTAGTATCAAGTGTCTTGAGACTGGATTTGAACTCAGGTCCTCCTGATTCCAAGGCCAGAGTTCTACCTACTGTGCCACTTAGGACTTCCTTTTTGATAGGCCAGTCCAGTAGCTATGTGGCTGGCCCACATCAATGAGCACGTGATTTGGGACTAACAAGGCAGGAATAGGATTATTAAGAATTGTCATAAGCTCTGCCTCACTTTTCTGTTCCCTTTTTTAAAGGGGCTTTTGAGGGGATATCTAAGGCTGTATCCTCTCAGCCAAGTGAAACAGGAACCAGGATGGGTTGGGGCAGAACAAGGGGCCTTTTGGCAGCTGAAAAGAGTTAACTGCAAGGCTTCTGTCCCTCGTAACTAGAACCCATCCTTCTAGCCCAGGGCTTCTTGATCTCTTCTGTGTCCAGGACCCCTTGGACAATCAGGCTTCACTACAAGCCCATGGGCCCCTTCTCAGAATAAGGTTTTTAGATAATTGAAGGAAATGCTGAATTTCAGATAGAGGCTGGTGAAAGATGTCATTTTTTTTCCTCATCCAAGTTCATGGCCACCCTGATCTCTCCAGATCAAGAACTCTTATTCTAGGCCTAACATGAGAAGAGCTGAGTGTAAGAAACATAACCCAAACACCAAAGGGTTGACTGCTCTGAGCTCACCCTTTACCCAAGGCAACCTTGAGGACCCCAGACTGCTCCATGGGGCCAACTCTCACCCTGTGACTACTGGGATAGAAACGCCAAGGCCAGCAGGGAACAACTAAGAATCTTGGTAAAGGGCCTTTGGGGCTTTCCCTGTCTCAGGTTATAGGGAGCAGCAGAGGAGGAGGAGGAGAGGATGTGGAAGAGACAGTCGTACAGAGAAGGCTGGTGTGCCAAGTGAGCTTAGCCAAATCCAGATGGTAGGAAAAACAAAACCTTTTTTATTTCATTCAGGAAGCGGAGAATTTTCGCAGCGTGATGACGATCAAAGCCAGGACCACCGAGGTGCCCAGCAGGGCGGCGATCACGATGGCAGCAATGGCTCCGGGGCCCAAGGACCCTAAGGAAGGCAGAGGGAGATGGGAGAGGCTGAGAATCCAAGCCTAAGCACAGAATTCAGAACAGGCACTTCTGTGGCCCAAAGGCCTGGTGTTTGGAGGGCGCCTGCACTGTGACTCAAAGAACCACAGGGTGGATGGGACCTCAGAGGTCATCCAGGCCAAACCCTTCCCAAATCGGGATTATCATCCATAACATCTTCACCAAGGGGTCGCCCAGAGCAAAATGAATGGGAGAAATATCGACTGAGGCATAAAACTAATGTTTGGTGTTTCTGTCATTAATTCAATCATTCAGCAATCATTTATAGAGTGTTTGTCATGTGCACAAATCTATACTAGATGCTGTCTTCCTTGGTCTATATCTAAGACACTAGACTGAAAAGTCCATGTCACTACCACGGGCCAGCTGTCTCCCACAGTTCTGAGACAGACACACCTACTTGGTGCATAGGAACACAGGATCAGAGATGCAGAGCTGGAAGGGGTTACAGGGGTTAGCTAGTCCAATTCCCAAATTTTACAGATGTGGAAACTGAGGCCCAGAGAACTGAAGTGACTTGTCCAAGATCCCACAGGCAGTAAGCATCAAAGACGGAATTTAAATTCCGATCTTCTGACCCAAGAGCTAAGCAGTTCCCCACCGTGCCATGCCACCAGACTGTTTTAGCTCCCTAAGTGCCTAGCTCAGTGCTTTTGATGCCACCAAACAAATCTTGGTTAAATGAAGGAGGAGGCAGTTGGTTGTACTAGGAAAGTCTGGATTTGAAGTCAAAGGAGGTGAGTTTGAATCTTTACCTTCCTGTGTGACCTTGGGCAAGTTACTTTCCCATTTGGGCCTCAGTTTCCTTACCTGTAGATTATACACATACACACACACATTAAATGATCTCTGGGGCTGAACCTTGGTGTTGGGAGGGGGGGATGGTGTTGATTATTATGGGGAGAGAAGAGCCTCTCTCTTAGCTCCTCCCCCATCCGAGGGCCCCTGAGAAGAATCAAGTCTTCCCTTACCAGTCCCATCATCCAGCCGGTGCAGATGGGTAGTGTCCTCTGGCTCATACTCTGAGGTATAGAGGGGGAGGTCTGTGGCATCAGAGGCATGGGTGTGGGTGGTGCTTTCGAAGGGGCCCACTCCCGACGGCAGCTCCCCTGGGTCGTTCCACAAGGTAGGAACAGGGCCTTGGGGATACTCTGCTGGAAAGCAAAACAGAGAGATGACGGGAGCAGGACGGAAACACCACCTGTGCTAAGGCACTGAGCACCACCATCGACCCAGTACCTAGTGAGATACTGGAGGAGTCACTAATCACCAACATCAGAAAGGCCATTCTTAAGAAGGCTGGAATGGCTAATCAACCCAGGTTTGGCAAAGGAAAGACAACTGTGCAACCTAGCACGGCAGGCGACTAAGAATGTGGCACCTGCTGAATCCCCAGAAAGACCCAAACAGGTGGCCAGAACTACAGACCAGAATGCTTGTTATCCTTCAAAAGCTCAAAGATGACAAATCCTCCTACTACAAGTAAAGCCAACAAGCATTTATTAAGCACCCACTGTGTGCCAGGCACCGTCATAAGTGCTGAGCAAACACAAAAAAAGTAAAAAACCGTCCCTCAAGGAGCCCGTGTTTTAATGATGGAGAAAACATGCAAACTACTACATACAAATAGGACGTAGAGAAGAAAACTTAGAGAGGATGTCAGAGGGAAGGCACTGACGTGAAGGAGAACTGGGTCAGGCATCATGCAGTAGGCACGACTGCGCCAAAGGCAGACCCCAGAATATCCTTGAGAATTCTATCCTGGAACTGGACCATCTCACAGATGAAACTGTTGCCCACAAATGCCTGGACATATCACTGAGGAAAACTGAGGAACAGCATATTTACAGATGTCGCCATACCAAATGCTCATAGCCTCCAAGTGTCAGATAATGAAAAAAACCCCCAAAAGGTAGAGATCTAGCAGAAGAAACTAAAACCACCTAGGCGCAGGACGCAGCACGCGCCAACTGCATCACCCCGTCCGCTACTGGATTTGTCCCAAGGACGTTTCCAATGAGCCCATAGAAGAAGGGCTTACAACCCAACACTTATCCATAATCTAGAAACAGCAGATGTTTTGTCCACTTATGTTACAATCTAATGCATATTAAAATAAAGAATCGTAGCACTGCAACCTATACTGGTAAGGTAAAAATGAAATATTATTTAATAATAATGATAACTTGCATTTTTATGGCACTTTAAAGTCTACAAGGTGCTATCCTCTCAACTGACCTCTGAGGTAGATTTACAGATTGAAGAAACGGAGACTGAGAGGGGAAGAGACTTGTCCAAGGTCACACAGGTGCTAAATGGCAGAGCCAGATTTTGAACCTATGTTGACTCCAAAGCCAATTAGAGTCGTTCCACTGTACCACAGCGCCTCGGTCACCTCAGTCCAGTCACTACCCTTGGGATCCCGCTCGTTGGCTACTTCCTACTGGAACTCTTAGCCATCAACGTTCTCTTTGCTTCAATTAATTTTCACTTATAGACTTACTAGTTTACGTGTTGTCCTCATTCCCCTCCCCCCCCCAGAACGTAGACTCCTAGAAGAAAGGGGACATTTTTGTCTTTGTATCTCCTTCCCCTAATGTAACAGCTGGTACATTTGGGGGGAGGCTGGTGTTTAGATCTGTGATTTCATCAGAGCAGGGAGCTCTCTAGTGAGGAAAGCCCTCTACCGATGCACATCTGAGAACACCTGGGCCACTCTAAGGACTTGCCTGGGGTGGCCTGGCCAGGGTGTGTCAGAGAGGGCCACGGCTCAGCTTTTCCTGGCCGTGATGCTGCTTGTTGGATGGGGCCGGGTTATGAGGCTTCTGCCTCCGCCCTCTCTATTCCCTCCTCTCTCTCCCACACCCAAAGTCCCTGAACATCGCTATGGTCAATCCCCATCTTCTCATCCTGCTTTCTACACCATGTCCCTGTTCCTCTTATTTCTTCTCTTTCATGTGTCATAGCAGAAAAAGCCCCCTAGACTTCAAATTCTCCCTCCGACCCTTAGCAGCTGCATGACCATGAGCTCCCCTGAGCCTCCGTTTCTCCATATGAAGACTTGTAGGGTATTATCACAGGGGGATCCTCTTTCAGGTACTGGTTGGAGCTAGAGCTCTCTATTACTGCTTTAGGCTCAGAGATTCCGTGGATCTGTAAAACGGGACTAAGAAAACCTACTACCCAACTCCCTGGGCTGGAGCGAGGTTCGAGTGAGACTGTGTTTGTAAAACCACAGAAATGGCACCTACCATCCTCAGCAACAGCATATGCCACGATATCGGCACGCTGCACTTTTCCAGCCAAGTTGTACAATCAGGTTGTTCCTGGCGACCATGAAGAAACCCTGCGGCAAATTATCTTGATCACGTACGTTCCTCTTCCTTTGTGACAATGTTTGTTCCATCATTCTCTACTTCGAGAAGCTGTGATTCCATCAGTGTGGGTCATTCCTCCCCTAACGCAGATTACAGCCCCTTTACAACATGAGATGAGCTTCAAGGGCTGGTGAGCCTGGTTTCACCTCTCGAGGGTGGTCTCTAGATGACAGCTACACATTCTGTCCCTGGGCCTAGACCTGAAGCCTTTCCAGCTTGGAAAAGATTCCCGAGATTGGGTTCTGACGGCACAGCTTCTCAGAAGCCAGAGGTCCCCTCCACACCATCAATCAATCCATGGACATTAAGTACCTTCTTATGAGCCGGACACTGGGCTAAGTGCTGGACCTTGATAAAGCTTTGGAGGAAGCAAGGCTGTTTAACTCACGTTCCAATAATAGGTCAAAAGGTAGAATTTATTCTAGGAGAGGACGGTTGGAGCTAGGGGTGAGAGAGGGAGGGAAGGGCTCCGAGCCCCGCCCCTCCAAGAACAACGGGGTGATGCATGCCAGCTCCTTACAGCATCCTGAGACTAACGCACCACTTACAAGCACTGATTAGCCCTTACCGCGTGCATATACAAGATGCAGACAGTGTCATGTCAGAAGGGAGACAGTGTGTGTCTGCGTCTGTGTGTGTGTGTGTCTGTGTTGGAGAGAACACAAGAAAAGCTTCTGGCAGAGGATGAGATTTGAGCCATGCCCTGAAGGAAGCCAGGAGGCAGGGGTGGAGAGGGTGGGCATTCCAGGCATGGGGCACAGCCGGTGCAAAGGTGCAGGGAGAAGCAGTTAGAGGGGAACAGACAGTAGGCCAGAGTAACTGGAACACTGTGTGTTTGGAGGAAATCAGATACAGAACGACTGGAAAGGTACGAAGGGCCAGGACGTGAAGGGCTTTAAAAGCCACGCAGATCTTTTCTATTTGATCCTGGAAGCACTGACTGAGTAGTTTATCATCTCTATCTCCTTATACCTGGTAGAGTGCCAGGCACACAGTAGGTGCTTAAGAACTTCTTCTCCACTAACTCAAGTGTAAAGTGATTTGAGGCGGGGTAGCTCAACACACCCAGGGCAGGCTGCTGGAGCTTTCTAGCAGTCATTTGTGCTCTTCAGGACCAGAGCACCCCATCTTCTAAAGGGATCTGTCCCAAGGCTAATGGATGCTGTGCACCAGGGCCCCCTCAGAGCTGGAGGGGCCCAGTTCGCACTGTTAACCATATCTAGCTTGAGCTTCCCCTCCTTTCCCTAAGGTGGCTACCAACCTTTCTGAGTGCCCAATGTCTTATGTGGGATGGCTTTCTGGATGATAATAAATCCATATTAACTCACTTTTAAAAATAACCAATGTTTCTTTTTATCGTAGCAGTGAACTGGGAATCTTGATCTGAAAGGACTGACCCTGAATCACACACTTCCCTCCTCTCAATCGCTAATGACATTATTTTTTAAAATCCAGCACCTGAGACACTATGACCACTCTTTCCCCCCCCCCCCTCCTGCCCCGGGTTATCTCTCTAGGAAACTTGGAAGGTTTTACTGTCTCAGACATCTTGCCCAGGGGAACACCCCTATCGTACCCAGCACTGTTGGGTGCCATGTGACATGGTGCCCACCTTTAAAGGGCTCCTGTGCCACCAAACCCACCTTTCTCCAACTCCATATGTCCCAGGGCAACAGCTATCCAATCTTTCCAGAGGCTCTGCATATACCCAGGAGTCCTGCCCCCAGCAAAGACACTCATTTGGCCTCTGAGCAGGACTGTTCCTTGTGGGTGGCAGTCTTCATGGATGATAAAAGGGTGACCTGGGTCATTCTCCAATCACAGTTGCACAAAACCTCATCTCAGATTTAGACGGGCCCTTAGCAGCCACCTGGCTAAACTCCAGACTGAACAGGAATTCTCTCTACAACGTTAGCCTCTGTTTCCTCATCTGTAAAATGAGGGGATTAGGCCTCGAAGGCCCCTTCAAGCTCAGAGTCTCTATCCCTGTGACGTTCTTGGGGAGCAGCCAGCCAGCCTTTACCCGGGGAGCCTAATCCGCTTCTGAACCTCTCTGATCGACCTGAAGCTTTTCATTACGTCCAGCCCAAATCTTCCTCTCTGCCATTTCACAGATGCTCCTGGTTCCTCCTCCAAGGCCAACCCAAGCAAAGCTAATCCCTCTTCCACGAGTCAGCACTTCAAATATGGGGAGCCTGATCCCATGTGCCCCGAACCTTCTCTTTCCGGGCTAAACACCCTCATTTCATTCCACACGACTCTTGGGACATGACTTGAGATTTCCAGCCTGGCTGCCATCCTCCAGACCAGGGTTCGTGGACCTAAAGGATCCCTGGATGGATTTCAAGGGGTGCATGACCTTGGATGGAAAATATATCTTTATTTCAATAGAATTGGTTTCCTTTGTACCTTTTTAAAAATTATTCTATGCTTTGAAAAACATGATTTCAATATGCTTCTAAAAATACGATTCTATGAAACCCAGTTGCCCCTAGAATTCACCAGGCTGCTGCCCAAGGAGTCTGTGACACCAGTACAGTTAAGAACACCTGGCCCCAGGATCTCATTAGCTTCTCTGATGGCTCTATTATGCTGACTCCTACTGAACATGCTGTTGGGTTGTTTTTCAGTCATGACTGATTCTTCATGGCCCCATTTGAGGTTTTCTTGGCAAAGATACTGAAGTAGTTTGCCATTATCTTCTCCAACTCATTTTACAGATGAAGAAACTGAGGCAGACAGGGTTAAGTGATTTGCCTAAGGTCACACAGCTAGTA